AAAATCCAACACATGGGGAATTGTTTTAACTCAAGAAGTCAGTCAAGTAAAAGTTATTTTTTTAGATTTACAGATATATGTAGATAAGGGATGTTTGAAAACTAGTACATATTTTAAAACTGTGGATATTAATAGTTATATTAATATGGAAAGTTGCCACTTCTCCCCGTGGTTAACCAATATACCCAAAGGCCAATTTACTAGAGTAAGACGGAATTGTACAGATGATGATATTTTTATAGAACAGTCAGGAATTTAAAAAAAACTATTTTTAGAGAAAGGATATAATAAATCAGAGGTAGAAAAACAATATAAAGAAACCCTAGACAAACCCAGGAAGGATCTCTTAATATACAAAACCAAAATTAATCAATCTCCAGATAAACAAATAAAATGTATATGTAATTATAATTCGCAAAGTGGTCTTTTTAAAAAGATTTTAAATAGACACTGGCATATTTTAGAACAGAATGAAGATTTAGAACAATTTATTAGGAAAAAACCTAAAACTGTATATAGGGGAGCCAGGAATTTTAAACGTATTTTAACTAGAAGTTGTATAACTAAAGAAATGACAGACGGAGATCTCTCAGGCTCTAGATTAAAAGGTTTCTTTAATTGTGGAAGTTGCAAAGCGTGTAAAGAAACTATAGTGAAGAATAAAAAGACAGACAGTTTCTCATCTAATTCCACGAAAAAAAAAAAACTTAGAAAATAGACTCTTTCATTTCATTTAATATGAACAATGTAATTTATCTCCTTTCATGCAGTTGTGGACTACAGTATGTGGGTGGAACCACCAGACCCCTTAAAGTAAGAATAGGAGAGCATATTAGAAATATAAAAAATAAAATATTGAATCACTCTTTATCCACACATTTTGCACAAAAACACAATGGAGATCATAAATGTCTTAATTTTATTGGCATTCAAAGGGTTAAAAAACCATGGAGGGGAGGTGATTTTATTAAAATTTTTAATAAAACAGAAATGAGGTGGATTTTTGAGCTAGACACTTTATCCCCTTTTGGAATGAACATAGATTTTGAAATTTTTAACTATATTTAATTATGTTTCTAGTTCTTTAATTTTGGTGGAGGGCATAAACACCTCTTTTGTGTGTGGCATGTAGTGATGTCGCGAACCCAAAATTTTCGGTTCGCGAACGGCGAACGCGAACTTCCGCAAGTGTTCGCGAACCGGCGAACCGCCCGAAACGCCATTGAATTCAATGGGGAGGCGAATTTTAAAACACACAGGGACTCTTTCTGGCCACAATAGGGATGGAAAAGTTTTTTCAAGGGGACTAACACCTGGACTGTGGCATGCCGGAGGGGGATCCATGGCAAAACTCCCATGGAAAATTACACAGTTGATACAGAGTCTGGTTTTAATCCATAAAGGGCAGAAATCACCTAACATTCCTAAATCACAATCAATATGGATTGACACCTGACATATGACATATTGACACCTTGACATATGGATTGACACCTGTCCTCAGAGCCCCTGATGCACACGGACACAGAGCAAAATAGAGACTGGTCCCCCTACATAGGGTCACTTGGCAGATATGGATTGACACCTGTCTTCAGAGATCATGATACACACTGACACAGAGCAGAATAGAGACTGTTCCCCTACATAGGGTCACTTGGCAGATATGGATAGACACCTGTCCTCAGAGACCATGATACACACTGACACAGAGCAGAATAGAGACTGTTCCCCCTGCATAGGGTCACTTGGCAGATATGGATTGACACCTGTCCTCAAAGCCCCTGATACACACTGACACAGAGCAGAATAGAGACTGTTCCCCCTACATAGGGTCACTTGGCAGATATGGATTGACACCTGTCCTCAGAGACCATGATACCCACTGACAGAGAGCAGAATAGAGACTGTTCCCCCTACATAGGGTCACTTGGCAGATATGGATTGACACCTGTCCTCAGAGATCATGATACACACTGACACAGAGCAGAATAGAGACTGCTCCTCCTACATAGGGTCACTTGGCAGATATGGATTGACACCTGTCCTCAGAGCCCCTGATACACACTGACAGAGCAGAATAGAGACTGTTCCTCCTACATAGGGTCACTTGGCAGATATGGATTTCGAGCACCTGTCTTCAGAGATCATGATACACCGACACAGAGCAGACAGAGACTGTTCCCCTACTTAGGGTCAGTTTTGGCGTATAGCTATGTGGATTGACACCAGTGAGTGAGTGGTGGCACTGGGGCACAGTATCCACTGTGAGCCTGACACACCCTTGAGAAAAACTAACTTCTGCTATTCAATCTATAACAGTGAAAAAAAGTTTTTTTGTTTTTAAATGCAAGCTATTGTGACACTAGCGAGTGAGTGGTGTATAATTGGCACAGTATCCAATGCAGCCTGGACGCCACCCGCTTTGAGACAACTAACTGCTATTCAATCTATAACAGTGAAAAAAAGTTTTTGGGTTTTAAATGCACGCTATTGTGACACCAGATATGAGTGGCAAAGTACACTGGCAGAGGTCTGCAGAGCACACACTGAAGGAGGCCTGACACCCGCTTTAAGGACATTGACTGCTATTAGCTTACACTGAAAAACTTTTTTTCTTTGTAAAAGCACGCTATAGAGACACCAGATATGAGTGGCAAAGTACACGGGCAAAGGTCTGCAGAGCACACGCTGAAGGAGGCCTGACACGCGTTTTAAGGACACTGACTGTTATTAGCTTACACTGAAAAACTTTTTTTCTTTGTAAAAGCACGCCATAGAGACACCAGATATGAGTGGCAAAGTACACGGGCAAAGGTCTGCAGAGCACACACTGAAGGAGGCCTGACACCCGCTTTAAGGACACTGACTGCTATTAGCTTACACTGAAAAACTTTTTTTCTTTGTAAAAGCACGCTATAGAGACACCAGATATGAGTGGCAAAGTACACCGGCAGAGGTCTGCAGAGCACACGCTGAAGGAGGCCTGACACCCAGACGCTTGCAGACAAATAACTGCTATTCAATCTATTACAATGAAAAAAAATTTTTTTCTTTTTAAATGTCAAGCTTAAGCTATTGTGACACCAGATATGAGTCGTGGCACTGGGCAAATGGGCACAGTATCCACTGTGAGCCTGACACACCCGCTTTAAGGACACTGACTGCTATTCAATCTATAACAGTGAAAAAAGTTTTTTGTTTTTAAATGCAAGCTATTGTGACACCAGTAGAGTGAGTGGTGGCACTGGGCACAGTATCCACTGTGAGCCTGACACACCCGCTTTAAGGACACTGACTGCTATTCAATCTATAACAGTGAAAAAAGTTTTTTGTTTTTAAATGCAAGCTATTGTGACACCAGTGAGTGAGTGGTGACACTGGGCACAGTATCCACTGTGAGCCTGACACACCCGCTTTAAGGACACTGACTGCTATTCAATCAGTAACAGTGAAAAAAGTTTTTTGTTTTTAAATGCAAGCTATTGTGACACCAGTGAGTGAGTGGTGGCACTGGGCACAGTATCCACTGTGAGCCTGACACACCCGCTTTAAGGACACTGATTGCTATTCAATCTATAACAGTGAAAAAAGTTTTTTGTTTTTAAATGCAAGCTATTGTGACACCAGTGAGTGAGTGGTGGCAATGACTGGGCAAATGGGCACAGTATCCACTGTGAGCCTGACACAGAAGCTGGCAGCAGTGGCAGACAACTAACTGCTATTCAATCTATAACAGTGAAAAAAGTTTTTTGTTTTTAAATGCAAGCTATTGTGACACCAGTGAGTGAGTGGTGGCACTGGGCACAGTATCCACTGTGAGCCTGACACACCGCTTTAAGGACACTGACTGCTGGCCCTAATCTAGCAACAGTGAAAAAGTTTTGTTTTAAATGCAAGCTATTGTGACAATTCAGAGTGAGTGGTGGCACTGATCAGCAAAATGGGCACAGTATCCACTGTGAGCCTGACACAGAAGCTGGCAGCAGTGGCAGACAACCGAACGTTGGCCCTAATCTATAAATAGTGAAAAAGTTTTGTTTTAAATGCAAAGCTATTGTGACACCAGTGAGTGAGTGGTGGCACTGGGCACAGTATCCACTCGTGAGCCTGACACAGAAGCTGGCAGCAGTGGCAGACAACTAACTGCAATTACATTACACAGAAAAAAAAAAAGCAGACTGATGTTCTAGCCCTAAAAGGGGCTTTTTGGGGTGCTGTCCTTACAGCAGAGATCAGATGAGTCCTTCAGGACTGTAGTGGACACTGTATACCCTAACCTAGCTATGCATTTCCCTATTTAATCAACAGCAGCTACGCTTTCCCTCCTCTCACTAAGCATGCAGCTTGAGAATGAATCTAAAATGGATGCTGTCCAGTAGGTGGGAGGGTCTGCTAGGGAGGGTGTGC